TATCCCCCCACCTACCTGCCCGTACCCTCCGTTCCTCTGGCTCCGGTCTGCTCCACATCCCCCGCCCCAACCGCCCTACCATCGGTGCCCCTCAGCCTCTCAGCCCCGAGGCTCTGAAACTCCATCCCCAGTGCCTTCGCCGCTTCCTCCCTTTCCTCCTTCAAGGCCGGTCTCAAGACCTTTCTTTTTGACTGTGCCTTCAGCTCCCCTCTCGAGTCTCTACCCCCTCCTCGCTCCCTCCCTTCCCTCCCCTCACCCTGACCATTTCCCCCCTCCTCGCCCCCTCCCTTCCCTCCCCTCACCCTGACCATCTCCTCGCTCCCTCCCTTCCCCCCCCCTCACCCTGACCATTTCCCCCCCAAGGTTCGAGTCCTGACCCAACCGTACAGCGCCTTGGGACGTTCTCCCGACGTGAAAGGCGCTCTATAAATGGAATCTTGTTGTTGTTGTTGTTGATTTAAACAAACACATTTTACAAAAAAAGAATTCATCCTATTTAGCTAAACAACAAAATAATTCCCAATTTTATACACTATATTCTTTATTTTTCTGTCGTGCCCTGAGAAACTAAATGTCATAAATTTACGTGTGCCAATGGTCATTTAAAATCAGTTGGATTGCCAGCTCAGTGTGATGATATTTACCACCGTTATTTGGCGTGGAGTGGTGGCGTGGTGGGGAGGGGAGGTAGAGAAAGAAAGGACAAAAGGATAATAGATACTTGGACAAAGTTATAAACTCAATATATTCTTAGTTGCTGTTGGGCCAGATTACTCTGCTTCGTACACTTCCTGAAAGCCAATTGATCTTTTCCCCAACTATGGTAATAACAAGAGGTGAATTCTTAATTGTTGTGTAAGTGGTTATGTCATGTGTGAGTAATGAGACCGTCTATCCTGGCAAAACCTCTCTCTATCTTGAATTAAATCCAACTTGAGGGGATCGGGTGATGCTGTTGGTGAAGTTTGAGTAATTTCATGTCTGAATTTATCTGTTGTGGGATTGGAATATTCATCCGGACATTATTTAAAATGGATAATTACTTGAGATCTTGAGCAAAGTTGAGGAAAGGATTTCTGGATATGCAAAGCCATTACCACAGCTGGTATGGGCAGAATACTTGAGAGAAGGAGGGAGAGGTTCAGGGCTGAGGGAGGATCCGCTGGTCAATAAACATTACAATCTTGCCCCTTGCAGACATGACTTATAATTGGGAAAATTGCTTGATAGGAAATCAACCATAATTAGGTCGTCAAGGAAAAGTTCTCAGCCCTCCCAAGTGTGGGCTTTTTCTGCCTTTCCCAAGACCTGGTTTGTTGATTTTATCCAAGACTGCATTGCTGTGTGAAACTCATGGAAAGCTCACGTTTCTTAGCCATAAGGCGCTAAATCAAACACAATGATTATTTTTATAACAATATTTTCGCCGCTTGCATGAACCTCTTCTTCTTCCTCCTTGCACTAGTGTAAAAGCATTTATTCAATCCATTTCTTCCCTTATTTGAGTCTCATGTTATGTTTTTGTTTCCACCTGCACTTCACATCCCCCTTGCCCATCATCCGCAGGCCTCTATCTTGGAGAGGGGTTTGGAGGTCAGGGAGAGTTATAAGTGAGGTGAATTGCGATGCTGTTATATAGTGCTTGCGGGTGCTGTATTATGGATACAGATGACTTGGGCTGGTGAGTACAGTATTACATTAGCCGTGGAATATAACTTTGGGTTTTCATAGCTGTTCATCAAGCTGCCAAGTATCTACAATCTGCTGGAAGCCTTTTTGTTCAGTTGCCCTATTTTTCTGAGCGTTACTGCATTATCTTGTCAGGAAGAAGCTTGCAATGAATATTCCACAGTAATTACAGAATTAGTCATTTTTCATTAGAATCAGCCTTTCCCACGGTTGATGTGCTTGCGTCAGGTAATCCTGAAAGTGGGGCACGTCCTCTTGATATGCAAGTTTGCAGCCTACAGGTTTAATGTGCAGTAGGTTTATGTATTAAGCTTGTGTGCAGTGATCTACGTAACTTGGTGGAATTTCCAGTCATTTTAGACCTTGTATCAGGTAGTTGCAGACTGAGAGTTCGTTTTGATCTCCTTTGTGTTTGGCTTGTCTTGTTGGTTATCACTCTGTAAGGTCCACGTTTAGGAGTTTTTTTTAATCAGTGATCTTTGTCTCCATTATGATTAAAACCAGAAATATATGTTTTTTCTGCAAAGCCCTCGTCACACAACCATGGATTCAATATTTATTCATAAAATAGCCCACATACATGACTCTTGTTTATATGCTTTTGGACAACTGCTGCACTTCACTGACTTTTGAACTTCTGTAATAAACCACGAAACAATTTCCCCCTCCCCTGACAGCCCAGCTGAACTGTGCGCTTTGAAGAATGCATGATGAAACCAAAGATTAAACATTTCCCCCATCACATAGTTTTGCAAGAAATAATAGATGTGTCCAATTACTGATATGAACTTTTTCTTTACAACATGGCTGAAAATATTGTGGACGAAAGAATAAATAAAACTCTGCATTCCAGGAGGCGTGGGCCTGTGCAATCTGCAAGCACCAATTAATGTGGCAAAACACACCGTCAGACTTTAATATCCCAGTTTTAGACAACCGTCCCTAGTGGAGGGAAATAAATAGATGAAAACAGACGAGATTAGTGAACAGCACACGACCAAATGACAAACCAAAACAAGGATTGGCAAAAATCCAAAGAACATGTGCAGCACATTTGCAGTGAAGCTGGAAACCTAATTACAGTACACCAATGTATATGGCTATATACAGTCAAAACACACACTGAATAATCCTTTCCACCTATGGCTGTTTAATTGTATTTTTTTCCTACCTTTCTCCTCCATTATTTCTTCCCCTTTTCTCCCTCTAATATTTCTTCCCTTTTTTCCCCCACCTTGTGTTTCTTCCCTTCCCTCCTGAAGGGGTGACTCTCACTGGGTCATAGATTCTCTGAGTGCTTCTGGCAATTCCGCACCTGGATGAGCTCAGATACTCTGCATGCCACCGTCCACTGCATTCTGTATGCAAGTTTCAAAGGCACGTGGAGCCCAGACTTATTGTGAAACTGTTGTTTGATTGTCACAGTTATACACCAGATTTTGAATCCCACCCTCGCATTTAAAAACAGTGACTTCTGCACAACAGTAATTGGAATTCACATTTTGTTCCAGAAGGGAGACATCAAAACAAAACTGTGAAACCCAGACTGCATTCTACAGTCTCAGCAGATTCACAGTATCCAATGAAGCTTCCGCTGTGGAATACAAACAGGGTAATTTAGCATGATTGTACACAGCAAAACGCTGTCGGTTTGATTTGAGCAGTCCCTTTCATTCACCTACATCAGATGCATTTCAAAAACTCTACTGGGTTTGTATAGAAACACGGCCACTCTCGCAGTGTCCCACAGTAGTATTTTGGACGGACAGCCTAATAGAACCAGGAAATATTTTCCCAGCAAGGCGAAAAGTTGGGCAAGTTCCTTACTCCACACACCTGTTTGCCTAGCAGTAAGTAGGAACCCAGTTGTCAGTCGATTGGCAGATCACTTTTCCGGGGGTAATAGTTCCTTAAAACAATGGTAAATTGGTCACTCAATCCACGATTGTTTGTGGAGACACCGCCCACAAAATACAGTTAATTCACTTTACAGTATATTCTGTGAAGAGCTTCGAGATGTCTCAGATTTGTTAAGGCGCTATATCAAATGAAAGGATTATTGTTCTTCAACTAAATTGCCCTATATCCTAAATGTTAGGAAGGCAGTAGGCTTACCAGGTGGTGGTGTTTTTTGCCGTTCTCTCTTATTTGTTAGCTCCTGTTTAGAAGCAGGCTGGAAGCAAACATTTTATACTGAGAAGTAGGAAATCCTTCTCTTAAGGCCTATCTCCAGTTCGCGTGTGATTCAGTAGGTTCATATCTTAAGGTCACAAGGATAATTCAAAGACTCGAGTAAGTGCACAATATTTAACATTATGGAGCAACTCAGGTAAGTATTTTTCCTCTTCCAAGTTCAAAGCTGTGTGTGTGTGTGTGTGTGTGCAGCTCTGAAGTGATGCTTTGGGCTGTGTTATGCAGATGTAGTGAAACAAACCCCTGAAACGCGCATCTTGAGGCGCAATAACTTCCAAGCCACTCTCCCCAGTGCTCGCCACACTCCACAAGTTTTTTTGTGTAATAGTTTAATTTTAGTTAATTAATAACCAAGGAGTCTTTACTGGAATGTAACATTTTCTTGTGTGTGGGCAATGTTTGACTATTTATTAACCAGTTCGCTTGGATTTTCTGAAAGAGTCTATTGCACTAAATTTTCCACCGTATTTTGCGAACTCCTCAAATAAGTACACATGTTGTTGAGTTCTAGTAAGACGCAGAATAGTTGCATGTCTGAATTATCAGAAAATGCAGCTAAGGGTCACACAGAAATACCAGTCGGCAAATTAGAATATTTAAAAAGTTCTTCTGGCACAACACAGCTCTTTAACTCTATCCCTGAATTGTTGGCAGGTGGTATTTTTTTTAATGTAGTGAGTGATTAGAATTTTCTAATCCTTTCTACATATGATAATATATACATTTGATATTGCACCTTATCACGTTGTTGAGACGTCTCAAAGCACTTCACAGAATATACTGTAAAGTGAATTGACTGTATATTTTGTGGGTGAACGAGGCAGCCAATGCCCAAACTTGTGCCCAAACTATCCCACAAACAGTTGTGGATTGAGTGACCAAATTATTATTTATTTTTACTTATGTCATAACTTATATATAACTCATAAATACAGAGGTGGTACAGGATGGGAACAGGCCATTCGGCCCAACTAAGTCAATGCCGATGTTTATACTCCACACCAGCCCCGAGTGGTCCTGTTTCCCTCATTCCTTTTCTATAAAGAAACATTCTGAAAGGTTGAATTCCGTTCCCTTTTTTGTTTTGTCTGCTAACTGATCCCCTCTGTTTTACTCAGGTGCCCCTGACCCAACGGCAGGTGCTAGTATCGACGATGAGAACTGTTGGCATCTTGATGAGGAACAGGTTCGAGAGCAGGTCAAGCAGTTCCTATCACAAGGAGGATATTATGGGTCCGGAAAGCAGCTGAATTCTATGTTTGCAAAGGTAAGAACCTTTAAATACAAAACCGTCGGCGAGACCCTCATGTGGCAAAGCTTTGACCAACTTGGAACAGAATATATTACACAGAACCTCTCTCCCAACCACCTATTTGAGGGGGTAATTGTCTCTCCATTTCACTTCTGCTTAGAATTGATGTTACCAGGCAGTTGATTTATGGAACATTCTGTCCAGTTTGGATATTTCTAAGCGTGGTGATGGGTTTGTGCACCTGTCAGACAGGCACCCAGCTGACCGAAAAAAAAGATAGGCAGTTGATTCCCAGGCAGAGAAATCTTTCCGGAGGGAAATGGATGAGCTTTCCACTCCTGTGCTTTCAGGTGCAGGGAGAATCCCAGATTGAATATTGACCTCAGCTGGATTTGGTACGTGTTCTCGTCACGGATAGAATGCTGCCAACCTGGGAGTTATCAAAGTAGCATGATTGCCTTATAGCCGATTGGTGATTGATGGGCTTGCACCACAGATACAGCCAGATTAATTACTGGTGGGATTTTTTGTTGCTTAAGGAGGAATGGATTGGCGGTTGGGAGTGGGGTGGGGGGGCGAGACGAGGGGGGGGGAGAGAGAGCCTCAACCAAGTGAATTTTGCAGGCCCTGAGGTAGACCATAAATACAACCCAACTTTCTGAATTTGTATCTCAGCAGAGTGACTCAGCTTTTTTCTTAAGCAACACTTTACCACACACTTATTGGCAGTGCAGTTGAGCACCAAGTAAAAGGGATTCAGTATGATGTTAGGAAGTTCCCAATCTCAGGCACGTTTCTGAGGGAATTGAAACTGGGGAGGGATTTTCTAAAAAAAAATAAAAAATATTTTTTCACGTTGCCATACTGAAACAAACATTGTAATTAGGAATCTGCTTGCAGCCCAATGAATGAAATGATGAGACTGCCAGTCCTGAAGGGCAATCAGATTGATTTGAAGCAGATTTGTCTAGCCATCAAAGTACAAAAAATGTTTCATGTGTAGTTGCGGCATTTAGTAGCTTTTACTTTATATAGAGATATTATATATTATATTTAAAACTTAGACAAACAAATTAAAATCTTGAGGTTCGTTGCAGTGACTTTATTTGAAATGCTGCAGCTAAAACCTGTGTGCTATTCTGCGTCTGACCTTAGAAAGTATTTGGCTGAGACATGAACCAGAAAACTGCCGCAGTCTGCAGAATCTGTCAAATACGCTTTAAATCAGCCTATAATACACTAATTGTACCTACAGGCCAGTTAACCTTATCGATCACATTTTGTTTAAAATTCTTGCTGTGCCTTTAACAGTGACGATAGACTTTCTCTTCTCTCTCCACCCATCCCCACCCCCCTCCCCGCATACTCACCAAGGTTACATTAACAATGAATCTCTCGCATTTCTTCTAGATAGGAAAAAAATATTGATGAGGGCCATTGCCTTGTCAATGCTGCCATTTTTATCGTGGCAAACGTTTTACCTTCATATATAATGGATGAATGTGGTTTGACCGAGGTACCTGAACCTCCTCTCCCAGTCTGATCGGTTCAGGATATCCATTTACCACACCCCGCACCCCCACCATTCCCAAACTGAGAGTAATGCTCACTGGTTTAAGCGCTCTGAGACTCCACCCTGCCTGAGAGGCACTATATAATAATAAAAATCCTTGCATTTGATATCACGCCTTTGAGACTCCTCAAAGCGCTTCACAGAATATACTGTAAGCGAATTGACTGTATATTTTGTGGACAAAAAGCAACAGCGAATTGCGCACAATATATAAGTAGTTGTTGTTGTAATGCCTTGAGCTCCCTCACTATTTCCAGGGAGCTGTATTTTTTTGACTCTGCCTGAGGTGAGTGTGCACTATTCTCAATTGAGTGTCAATTTGTATTTTTTTTTAGAGAAAGGTTGTTTTTGTCACGTTTCAAAGGACAGACCAGCAGCTCGGTGTCGTTTTGGACTCTGCCAAAGACTATTCTAAAATGTTGCACCCTGAAATGCTGAAGTGCTTTGATATTTGTTTTTTTGCTTACAGGTACGTGAAATGCTAAAGATGAGGGATTCCAACGGTGCCAGAATGCTGACGTTAATAACGGAGCAGTTCATGGCTGATCCTCGGCTCTCTCTGTGGAGGCAACAGGGAACGGGTATGACGGACAAATGCCGGCAGCTCTGGGATGAGTTGGGTAAGCGGAGGGTTTGATGGACAGGAGCATGCAAGAAGGCAGCAGCTGAGAGGAGCAAAGTGACTCCCTTCACCAGGCGCCTTTAGAATGTAAATAAATAGCAGGAGTTGAATGTAGGACTGTAATAAGAGTTCAGATGGTTTGCATACCGAATAATAGACAGATAAATAGGGTGGGGGGCGATCACAAGGCAGAAATCTAATCAAGGGATTCACGTGTCACAAAATGGTAACTTTTTATTCTGAATGCTTAGGTTTCACTCCTCAGCTCAGTCTTGTATCTTTGCGTTTCTGTATTAGATCCTTCTCGTTTTAGACGCCTTGAAATCTTAAAAATACAGAATGCCCTCCCTTTTCATGAGGAAGAATTTTAAATTTACGTGCATAGTGAAAAGATTGCTTAAAGATGGCATAAATCCAGTGACGCTCTGTGTTTTACAAAGAGACAAGCTGACTAAATGTAACCATCAATTTCGATGATGTATCTGAGGGATTGCGGGCATGAGCTCTCCTTCCTGCTGTTCTGTTGCACAGAGAATGTAGATGCTCAGAAGGGCTGCCAGTCAGTACGTTGATGTCTTATTACTGAAATTATTTATTCCTTTTTTTCAGCTTTTTAAAACTGTTGAATTAGAATACAAATGATCAAAGTGTTGCAAAGGCTGCTATCTCCACACATCTTGGTGTCTGAGTCTCCTCTTGTTGCTGTGTTTTATGCTGCACTGGTTGTATAGACAGCCAACACGCAATGGCCTTGTGTGGAGCTAACTGTGACATGAATGAGTTGGGTGAGGTTATGAATAAGAATGCAGAGGATTGTGGGCAGCGCTCCCAGTTCAATTCAACTCCCATTTCCCAGTGTGTAAAACAAAAAAAAAAGTGTTTTTACCCAATGCACCATCCAGTTCCCTTAGCTGTCAATATTCTCAAAGTATGTTGTTTGTAGATTGGCACAGTGGGTTAGCACATTGCCCCTCTGCCTCTGGGACTTGAATTTGAATCAAAGCCAAACTTAACTGGATGAAAATCTGCCCTCTCTTCTGGCTGGAAGAGTCATAAGTGAGAGAAGTTTAGTCTGTCTCAATTTTGTTTTATCTCATCAAGGTGAATGATGTCGGAACTGAACATGTGGAGGTCAATTTCTGCATCGTACACTTACTAGTCAAGTGTAGCATTGGCTGGACACTGAGCTCAGCCTCACAAGAGCACCCTTACTGCACAATGTACTGTTCACCTTACTGCCACTGCTAATCTGCTCACGGATTTTTGATGCTGGAGGAACTGATTGAGAGTAACCTGACGAATTTCATGTAGGATTCTTATAGGCAGTAACAAAAGAAGACGGTATCCTGTTAAGTGGAGATTACCGTGGAGTGATAGGTGATGGGTTTGCACCCTTGTTCCTTTGATTCAGGGTTGAGAAATGCAGGAATGCAGTCTAGACTAATGATTGGGAGCAGGTTGTTTGCCTTCTCAGCTGTGGTCAAAGAGATGAGTAAAATCGATTACCATTACCTTAAATATTACATCAGCAAATGTAGAAACCCTCTTAAATCAGGAGAGCTTTGATCCATAGAAGGTGGGTCCGAGCTTGTGCTGGTAGGTTGTTGTGGCCAGAGCAGCAATTAGGGAGCTACATTTGACTTCAGTCTGTTGGCTGGGAAAACAAAAGTGTGTGTCTGATTGGCGAGTACAGCAAAATGTTTGGCTACATACACTACCTCCTTGTTAAATGGTTAATATTAAAACTCACACATTAATAACAACTTGTTGGGTGAGGTACTGGAAATCACTTATGAAACTTTTCTCCCTGGGGGAGGAGTAAATGTAAAGAGATGTTGCCTTCTTAAACCTGGAAATTGGTAAAATATCACTATGTACCAAATAACATCTCCTTTTTGCTGTAAAAATAAAGAGATATATCTAGAGCCTTATGAATTACCGAGCAAACCCAATATTGAATTGACTTGTACCTTCATCATAAAATACTTCATGCAAACAAGATCAGTGAAAGAAGATTAAATGCCTTTTATTCTGCCCTGATTTTTTTTCTTAGTGAAGATTAGAAACCAATAGCTCCCATTTTTTTCAGACATAGCATTTGTGGTGGAAGATTAAAATCTAATTACATGTAGCAGGAGAAAAAAAACAGCATCTATATTCAGTATGAACTCATAGTATGACCTCAATCTTCCTCCATGGTTGCGCATTCAATTCAGATTGTCTTTTGAATAAGCTGTCAGCAAATGAGGGAGAAGAGGGGAAGGAAGGAAAGTTGCAAATGAAAACCATAACGCAGTTGGACAAGACAGGTTTCTTTTTCAGCTAAAGCAGTTTCTGTTTCAGTCAGCACGGCTTTCTTAACTGAGACATAAATATGATGAATCCGTCAGCCAATGGTGATGGATTTACAGCAGAGAATCGTATGGCATTGGTAGCCTGAGGAACGGACGATAATTCAGCTGCTTTCTCATTTTCTTAATGGAATGTTTCCCAGCAGCTTTGTGTTTGGTTTATTTATGGAAGAATTCTGGCTTGTGTACGCACAGCTACCGACCGGGGAGAATCTGCTTGCCTTCCTTTTACAGTCTCCCCTGTCCTATCACTCAAAGGGGAAATTGGTGGCCCTTTTCTGTCCATTTGTCATTTTAGTGATTGAAATAAGATTGCTTAAAAATAACTGCATGACCATTGCCTAAATATGACACCAGAATTCCCATTTCTACTCCTGATTTTATTTTTAAAAATCAGTATATCTAGTGCTGAATGGAATTCATGGATTAGAGAGATTCAAACATGGAGTAATACCCATTGTTGCAATATTTTTTCTGCATCAACTTTCAACCCAATGTTTTACCAGTTATGTTTCTACTGTTGAGGTTATTTTTTTGTCTAAAAAGTAGAAAATGATGTTTTCAAAACCAGTGCAGCCATATTGGAAGGAATAACCTGTATTTCAGTCCGCAAGATCAAAAATGCCCCAGTTAAATCTAATGTAACTACATTACATTTATAAAGAGATTATTTTTAACAACAAAAATCTAATCTTAAACGACGAGTCCTGCTTCTAATTGCTTCTTTATGATTGACACAGTTATTTGTTTCCGTGTCTGTGTGTATTTTATAGTATATATGTATTATAAAGAAAGCAGATTGGTTTGACTGGCCTTCTAAATTCTTATTTCTTTCCTGTTTCCACCTTTTCCCATGGGAACGCACCTGGCATTCAGCTAGTTGCATCTCTTTGAAGGCATGTTGGATGCTGTGTTGTGAGGCTGTTGTGTCCTACTATAGTAATGCAGCTGAATCGCTCTGTAGGCTAACTCACAATACAATATCATTAGTTACTCTAGTGAATAAATATGCAGCTTCCACAAATTATTAAACTGTAGCAAAAAGAAACCTAAGCAACTAGAAAGGACTGATCTTGTACAGACTGAGATTCCCAATGATGAGCGAGCGCAAGTCAAAGTGATGGTTGTTTGGTGGTGGGATGTTGAGTTAACATTTGGGAATTGTTTGGTTCATTTGCAGAAATTAAGTTTTTAATATGAAATATCTGAGCAGTTTGTTTTTCAAAGCAACCAACAAGGAGCGACTTGATCTTTGCATTTCCCAGCTCGGGTCTGAAACACGGATTGTCCAGTGCCTTTGCAGGATGCAGGAAAAATCAGTTTGAACTGCAAATTTTACTGGTTTTCTAACTTCCCTTTTTTTCTTTCCAGTGCTGATCCTCAACTTATGCCCTCTTTCTTACTCACCAGTCAGCAGACATGATCTTTTTGCTGTTTGTTCTCTCCAAGCCATTCATATGTTTCAAAGCTTCCAGTTTCTGGTGTCTGTTGCTTGGTTGTAGCTGTGTGACTGAAATGTCTGCCTTATCACTGAGCGCTGTCTCCTCCTTTTCAGGTGCCCTGTGGGTGTGCATTGTGCTGAATCCCCACTGCAAACCAGAGGAGAAGGTCTCGTGGCTCCGGCAGCTCAAGAAGTGGAATGATATGGATGTTTGTCCTCTGGAAGATGGTAACTACGGCAACGAGTTGCCCAACATAACCAACGCGCTTCCTCAGAGCTCCAATCACAATCAAGGTGAGTCCTGGAACTCCCGAGCTTAGGGATTGCTCCCGATCGCCATTATTTTAACACAACCACAACGCCATTGCTTTTATAATGATAACTTTTTACTGCCTCGGGGAATGTCCACTCGCAAAAATAATGATGAGGGACAGGAGATGCTTGGGAAGAAGTTGCAAGGTCATGATACCTTAGAGAGGTTTGGATGGCTGGCATTTTGATGAGAGTTCCTCTGAGCCCTGGAATTTTTTTTGTTTTTAAATTAATTTTAAACTATCTTCCTTTTGCGGGACTCTTCCGTGGAATAGTGTAATCCTTTGTTTCAGAAGTCTGTGGAATGTGGTTCTCGGATTACTATAGCCTTTGATGCATTAATTCCTCAGAAGGTGGATATCGTTTGGCTAATCCCGGAGTTTTGACTGGAGGAAAATGTCTCTTCGTTTTTCACGCTGGGGAGGAAATTTGGAGAAGTTACTTTTTCCTTTAAGCAGCCTTGCAACTCGTTTGCAAGTGTATTGATATACTCAGTGGCAGAGAAATGTTGATTGTTAGTGAGATTTTATTTTCCGTACCCCATTGCACACAACTATTTGAATTAAAACCAGAGTAAATGAAACTTCAAAGAAATGCTGTGCGGCTTTGGTCCATATTTGGGTTCATAATTTGCAGTATTTTCTTAATGGGATTTCTCAATAAGTAATCTGAGTCATGCAAATAGGATGTCCTTCCGGTAGCCAGAACTGTGCTAGACTGACCCACGGGAGCAACTGATTCGATGCTTTCCTACCTCCAGAATGGAGTTCCCACGGTTTGACTGCAGCTAGGTGTCCAGCCAAGTATTACCACAAACTTTGTTCTTTAAGCGGCCAAAATAACAGAAACACCCTCTGATGGGAATTAGTGATTCACATGGGGGAGAGGGGGAGAAGAATAAATGCCAAAATGTATTCAATCAAATAATTGTGGCAATGTTACTTATGAGTTGTGATTTCTGGTCCTAGACACCTATATTGAGACTGGCTTGATGATCAACGTGCCCAAACAGTCATAACTAAAGTAATTGTGACATTCTGCGGTGCTAATTTACTGCCACTGGGAACTTAAGCCATCTAGTGGCAGGTAGAGTGAAATCGTACAAACTGAACTCCTTACGAATAGGAAATGAGCCATCTGATCTTTATTAAGAAGTCTGACTTTGTTTTCACTGGTGATAAATAATGGAATCTAATGTGTAAAGCTAAAGAACTCCGAAAACAGACAGTTTATCTCGGTATCGCAAGGAGTGGGCAGAAATCGCTCACGCTTGCTTTATAGCATTAGTGTCCAGTGGATCCGTGCTTAGCAGAATTTACCCTGCTTCCAACACTGAATAGGCAGTTTCCAGGCTAAAACAGCCAACTTCCAAGTCGTCAGGTTACCACTCATGTCACTTCCTTGTTTGAGTGCTGTGGGCAGGAAGTACTGATGATGTTATCGTGTACAGCAAGTGATGTAAGTGACAACATGACAACAGCTTAACATCTCATCTGGACCCTCTGACAACACGACACTCCCCCAGCACTGCATTGGAGCGACAGGGAACACTATGTGAATTCAAAGTTCTGTCGTGGGGCTTGAATAATAATATAATAATAATAATAATAATCCTTGCATTTGATATAGCGGTTTTCATGCCTTCTCGACATCTTAAAGCGCTTCACTGAATAGATTGTAAAGTGAATTGACCGTATATTTGTGGGCGAAACGCGGCAGCCAATTGCACACAGCAGCGTCCCACAAACAGTCGTGGATTGAAAATGCCCAATTTATTATTTTTTTTATTTTGGAGGGATCCAAAAGGTACCAAACATTAAGTGGAATCTACAACCTTCTAACTCGGAAGCACAACTGAACCATGCTGACACCTAAATGGAAGGATAAGACCTGCAAATAAACAGACCAAAAATTAAACCAATGACCAATTATTGTCGGCTATTGAGGAACTCTACATTTAAGTACATCTCAGCACTTATGATCCACTTGCCTTACAACGCCTACAGGACAACTAACTTTATCTCGACTAATTCTCTTCTCTCCTTCCCCCCCATACAAAATAGCACCAGATTTAGGGAACCAAAAAGTACCAAACATTTAAGTGGAACTTGCACATTTTCAACCGAATTCTTTGCACAGTTTTTGCACGGCACAGACAGACAAGGGCAGATTAGGGTGCTTTTTCAGGCCTCATTAACACAGGAGACAGGGTAGTCTCAATCAGGTTCTCAGTAGAGATTTGTCCTCTGCATCAAGCGAGCTTTGTGATTTGTAACTAATTGGTGTGTGAGGAGGAGAAAGTAAATAAATAATCAGATGGAATGATATAATGCAATCAGTGTTTTGGGACGTCATCCCTACATCAGTTAGTTACCAAGAGAACAAATCGAATCAATAAGCATGGAGTGCTTTTTCACCCTTAAAATTCCAATAAGCACTGCCATGGGTACAAAAAGCAAGGATAATGTGTCTCCTTACTTGAGGGTTCAGATACAACGTTTAATGGATGATTAGCACTAAGGTCATCATTTGTACTTTTTCCCCCTGGTCTGACAACCCAGTTGATCGTTACAGGTTAAAGCAAATCTTCCCCAGGAACAGTCTCTAATTGAAACTCTGAGCTTAAAACTTGTCTTCCATCTGCTGCTCTGTAATTGGTCTACAGTGTATTTTAGGTAACTTGTGTGCAAGGAATTAAAAAAAGGCAGTTGTGTGTGCTTCAGTGTGTTGCTCTCTTCTGGGTGCAATTAACCGTCCGTTAGATTTCTCCTTAGGTAGTTGCTACCGATTGCACATCAGAGTTAGAGTTCCCTGCTCCTCTTCATTCCCTCCCCCACTTCGAGCACTTTAAAATCTGCCATTTAAATGTGTTATTTCTCTACTTATAAGGTTAGTAAGGTTAGGTATGTTTTCTCACCTTCACCTCTCTTGGTCTTCTTTTGCTAGCTAAGGGAGGTAAACTGAGCCTCATCAGTGGCGGAGCCTTCAGCAACTGCCCTTAGCTCTCTTCATCCTCCCTCCTCTCTGCTTTTATATCCCACCTAAAAAACTACCTTTTTGTGCTTGTAACTACCTAATTTCCCTCCTCCTTTGCTTGATATCTAACTTGGCCATTGTGAAGTGTTCAGACACTATAGAAATGTGTGTGGTCGGCCAACAAAATCATTTTTTTGATTGAAATTTTCTTGACATTCAATCAAGCAAAACCTAGAGAAGCATCGGTTAGTTGAACACTGACTTACCTAGACTAGTGCGGATGTTCGGGGTGGCTGTTTCTTGACCGCACCACGGGTCACTTCTGGCCCGCGGCCATGGGTTGGCCACCCCTGTTTTAGACAGATGTGCTCACTTGCTGCCTGAAACTTGTCCAGAGGATCAGAGGAGGGGGTCAGTTTGAGTCTTTATTATTTCACCAGTTAGGAAGGAAATAGCTTACCTCTGCCTGCCCGCTTGCCCTCCTGATTTATTTTTTCACTCTCTAATCAAGGAATACTGTAGTCCTCCATCAATGCTTTGGCTGAAAACCAGCTGAGATCAGTGATCATGTCTAAAACGATTGTGATCAGGCTGGTGCAGCACTAACTGATTTGTTTCACTGAACCATCGAGTCAGCCCACGACCACCAGTTGTAATGAAAGGTTTCTATCACAAAAATGTTGCCTTCAGTCTTTTGCTATGTAGAGTGTATGACATCGCACACCAATTGTTTGAACATGAATATTTTCCTATCCCCACAAGTGGTGCCCACGCTCTGTGTTTAGAACCACCCACTTCACACTTAATTATCCTGTGATTTCAACATCTTCAACCTCAGCCCATGATGTTGAATTATCTTCCGTTTCCTTAACACCCAAAAAAAAAGTTCCCTGACCTCTACACATACACTCAGAATGTGGGGAAAGTATTAAATCTGAACCGTCTTCAATTCCCCTCTTCTGCACTTAAAACCATGTCCAAATTTCCACATACATCTGGACCAATTTGACCAGGATGCCAAGGTATAAAGAAGTTCCACAATTTAAAACTGCTTAAGCTTTTCACTTCAGGACTAATGTATATTTGTTGCTTAGTAAATGATGGTCAGTGAGATGAGCAGCAATTTTATTCAAATGTCTTTGCATCTAGAATTTCCAGGTAGTGGAAATGCCAAACCAATGTTGAACAACAAAACAGGACAATGTCACATTTGTATTGCTACAACCACTTTCCATTTCTATAACATGTGAAATTAAATTTAAAGTTCCATGGAATGGGACAAATCAATAATATTATGGTTCTTGTCGCAGACTAACAGTGGAGCCTGTTTGTACATTGTGCTGTATCTAGGAGCAGGCAAGGATGTGGTTTGTCATGTACTGGCACATATTGTGCTGGGAAATAGTCTCCTGTTTCTTTTGGTAATGTTCTTCTTAAAATTTGTTCTTGTTTTTCCTTTCCCCACCAACCTGCCTGTTGCCTTTTTCTCCACAGAGTCTCTAGTCAGGCCAAGGAGGACGGTTTTCACACGTGCAATAGAGGCTTGTGATCTACACTGGCAGGACAGCCACCTCCAGAGGATTATTAGCAGCGATTTCTACGCCTCGCCCTCTTATCAGAGTGAGAGCCTACTCTTCAACTCTCAAGGACAGCCTCTATGGTTAGGTAAGAAGAGTCGTTCTCATATTGATGTTAATTTCTCCTTATCTCCTCCCATTAAAACGTCTTGTCTCTAAATGTCTTTCTGAACTGTTTTAATATGCCCAGAACACGTGCCCACTGCCTGTGCGAGAGTGGATGCCCTGCGCTCCCATGGCTATCCTAAAGAGGCTCTGAGACTGGCTGTTGCCATTATTAACACACTCCGCCTGCAGCAGCAACGGCAACTGGAAATTTATAAGCATCAGAAGAAAGGTGAGAATAACAAGGATGTCTCTTACTGAAAGAGCAAAGCTAAGGCCCACCATCTAGCTACCTGCAGTGTGGCACATGGGGATCATTACAGCATGCTGAAGTAAAACAAATGCACAAAGGATATTTCCAGGCTGGAAATTTTAACCTTTAAATAACGCAGCCTTGTAACAGTGAAAGTTCACATGCGGATCAGGGAAGTGGGTGGAGGAGGGAATTGAGGATTTCTTTAGTTCAGATCGTTTAATATGAGATGTTCCCCTGAAATTTATATTTCTCAATTTTCATGGGGCGTGGGATAAGAACCTCTTGCATTTGTTTGATTGCTTGCTGGAGATCTAGCCCCCTGTTGTATAAATTCTCTGATAATTTAGCTAATGAAAGGAAAAAATATAACAGGCAATGAGGAAAGGCCAGGGGAGTGAGACTAGATACATGGCTGTTTCAGAGAGCTGGCACAGGAATAATAGGCTGAATGGCCTCCTTCTGTGTTGCAAATTTGATTCAAGAGACAAAACATTTATTTTAATCTACGGCAGCAAAATGTTACTGATGTTTGTTGTATCTATTTTTAGAGTTGCTGCAGCGAGGTGTGACAACCATTACAAATCTGGAAGGGTGGGTGGGTCATCCTCTAGATCCAGTCGGGTGTCTCTTCATCACGCTGACTGAAGCCTGTCGGCTAGAGGATGAGACTGGTATGGAGACAGCAGGTAAGCTTAGAGAATCCCTGTGGTTTAGTGCTTGGTTTGTGATAGTGCTTCTCTCATTCTCTCCCCTGCTGCTCCGTCAACCAACCCTAGCCAAGTCGTCTGTCAACACTCTTCATCTAGGCTCACACCTAAGAATGACCACTTACACTTAACTGGGAGAAAAATCCACATATTCCGACTTGCAAATGGGAAATTTGCAACATTGTCACTTTCAGAAATACTTTATCCCCTTATCTGGAATGTTATCAGTTAAGAACTAAATGGAAATTTTAAATTTGCACATCAAAGATGTCTCTTCCTGCACTTTTATATCATGAAAACTTTCACTGAATATTGAATTGGTGGGTTTGGGACACTGGTCTATTGAAGTCTTGCTGAGCCCAAGAATCTATGTGGAAACTTTGGAAACAACAGGTTTATTACAATAATGCTGCTTGAGTCTCGAGTCTGGTATTTTTACAGACAAAAAAAACTGCAGGATATTTGAGCTTTAAAAGTGTTCCAGAACTCAATTATTGAACAGATGTTGACATTTCATCCAAGATTTATATCAACTAATGAGTATTTTTCTGCATCAGATTCAAGCAGTGATTTGAAGCCAGCTATCTACCAGCATGTGGCTGTGTCTGGGTGCCTGGACAGCAATGAATCATACCTTACTTTGGCAATGGAGGTAGCCCTCATGGGCATGGGCCAGCAGCGAGTCATGCCTGAGGGCCTCTACGCACAAGACAAAGTCTGCAGGAATGAGGAGCAAATCATCCTGAAATTGCAGGAGCTGGAGTTGGATGAAATGCTTGTGCAAGTCCTTCGCAAACAGTCCATCATCTTACTAGAGGGTAAACCAAAGTTCTCAACATCAAATAGATATATTGCTCGTGAACTCATGGTGTCTGGGGATTGAGTGTTGGGCTACCAAATAAGTTTGCCTTTGATCGATGTCCCAATCTGAAGTCAGTGACAAATGGATGTCAGTTTGGCTGGCTGTATTGAAAGTTGTCTTGGTAACGGAAAGTGGAGTACAACGATGGATGGAGAGGACTCTTGGGGAGGAAGGATACATTGATTGGCAGAGTTCTCCAGAGGACCATTCTGGGTCTCTTGATATTCCACAATTCAGTAAATATATGGGCAAGTCGTACCTGTACTATACAATTCACTGCTGTTGCCGAACTGATTGCCGGGTTACTGACTGAAGTAAGATTGATAGAAGGTCTTTAAAATGAAAACAAAATCTAGTTAATAACTGGCTTGGGAGCTAAGAGTAGGATAGATACAGACAGTGAAATTCTCCAGAGAACACAGTGATTCCTCATGGTATGTTGGGTTGGGCTGTACAAAGAATTTAACTGGTCTGATTTGATAAAATTAATAACCTTTAAATTTTACACAATTGGCTGAAAGGGGGGGAGAAATGTTGCGGTGTTTACTTTTCTTTGGGCTTTTTACCTGTGGTTATGTTCCTCAAGAGATTGAGAAGGTTGGATACGTTCTATGACCTTGCAAATTGTACCTGACATGTACAAGTCTCTGGGCCCGATGTGGGGTTATGAATAGCCATTGCATGTTACAAATTGATGTTTTATCCACTTAATTGAATTGGACTATGTTGTCTTGGATGATGGGCACCAGTGCAAAAAGTGGGGAAATATTCCATTCTGTTTCCTTCAGTTGCCCAACAAACTTTCTGTTGCAGCAAATTGCTGTGACATATAGTGTATGTATGTATGTATGTATGTATGTATGTATGTATGTATGTATGTATGTATGTATGTATGTATGTATGTATGTATGTATGTATGTATGTATGTATGTATGTATGTATGTATGTATGTATGTATGTATGTATGTATGTATGTATGTATGTATGTATGTATGTATGTATGTATGTATGTATGTATGTATGTATGTATGTATGTATGTATGTATGTATGTATGTATGTATGTATGTATGTATGTATGTATGTATGTATGTATGTATGTATGTATGTATGTATGTATGTATGTATGTATGTATGTATGTATGTATGTATGTATGTATGTATGTATGTATGTATGTATGTATGTATGTATGTATGTATGTATGTATGTATGTATGTATGTATGTATGTATGTATGTATGTATGTATGTATGTATGTATGTATGTATGTATGTATGTATGTATGTATGTATGTATGTATGTATGTATGTATGTATGTATGTATGTATGTATGTATGTATGTATGTATGTATGTATGTATGTATGTATGTATGTATGTATGTATGTATGTATGTATGTATGTATGTATGTATGTATGTATGTATGTATGTATGTATGTATGTATGTATGTATGTATGTATGTATGTATGTATGTATGTATGTATGTATGTATGTATGTATGTATGTATGTATGTATGTATGTATGTATGTATGTATGTATGTATGTATGTATGTATGTATGTATGTATGTATGTATGTATGTATGTATGTATGTATGTATGTATGTATGTATGTATGTATGTATGTATGTATGTATGTATGTATGTATGTATGTATGTATGTATGTATGTATGTATGTATGTATGTATGTATGTATGTATGTATGTATGTATGTATGTATGTATGTATGTATGTATGTATGTATGTATGTATGTTACCAAATTCTCATAAGGAGGAATAAGATACACCTTGCAGATCACTGGAAGACAGTTCTTCAAATGTCCATGCTTAAAAGAGTATCCAAACCAGACCATTAGTCCCACATATGTCACCTCTACATGAAATGTGTCTTATCTGCGCATTCTCTCCCTGGAGAGTGCATCCTGCTAACCTAATTCCCGGGAGTATTAAACACAGATTGGTGAATGTCAAAGCTTCAGGACACTAGATTGTGTATATTGATACTACTGGAGTTCAACCAGCTAAACCCTGATACCTTGCCCATTGAGAGCCATCCCTGGCAAAGTTCCTGCTGCTTATCTTGGTAGGGCCACACTATCTGTATACATATATTATGTATATATATATATATATTATATATTAGCGCTGAGATAATAACTGATTGCTCTCCTTCAATAGGAGGCCCTTTCAGTGGTCTGGGCGAGGTGATTCACCGAGAAAGTGTTCCGATGCACACTTTTGCAAAGTACCTATTTTCAGCTTTACTACCGCACGATGCTGACCTGGCATACAAGCTGGCTTTACGAGCTATGAGGTTTGTTATTTCATTACAGTGTTGAATTCTGGTGTGTGTTGTGAGCATGGATTATGTGCTGGTGGTATTACAACTCATAGTTCCAGCTAATGGGTCTTAGCCTCCAAATGGCAGCTTTTGTGGGAGTTCTGGGGGAAGAATTTCTCCCTGCAGTCCAGAGACTTGAATCTCCCAGACAGAACCAGGAAGAACTTTGTAATGAAGGCATTTCCCTTTTAATAGAATGTCAAATCTATGGTGTAAGTCTGTGACTGCTGTGGGGAATAGTGTGATAGGTTGGTGTCAGTTATTAAAGAGACGAGACTCAACCCGCCATACATAAGCTGCCTTTCTTTCATTCTAAAATATATTTAATGGGAGATGGGACTTGCAACTGGAGTCGGAAGACACTGGGCTAAAGTTCAGTGTACTGAACAATCTCATAGGCACAGTCAGAGAGCCTTAATGCAGGAGCAGTGTGACGGCTCTAATTAAAAACTCATTTGAATTTGCTTCCACTGCCTTATTTTCTGCAGTATTTCGTTTTTTATTGCCTTATATATTCAAGGAGAATGTAGCTTTTGGAATATTAAAGCACTTTTCTCTAGATGTAACTTTTCCACCTCCCCCGATAAGGCTTTCTTAAATATTGATTGAAGGGATTTCTCTGGGCAGTCCTGTTAGTTTGCTCACTCATGCAGACATACCCAGATAACGCCAGTCAAGCCTTGCAATTCTCTGGAACACGTCTGGTTCATAGCATTGATGTCAGTGTGTCTTCAAGCTGATCACGAGCCATTTTTAAGCATAAAGAAAATCCTCTTCTGTCTCTTTCTTTGTCTCCCTCTTGCTTCAACCTCTCAGATGCTACTGCAATAATAACTCGTTGCAAAATGCACATCTTCCTTTCTCTTTCACTCTCTTACCCCCCCCCCCCCCCCCCCCCCCCCACACACACACACACGTGCACTTTTTATTTGACCAAGACAGCCAGAAAGTTTGTTTGCTTTACAAATGTTCAATGGAGAATTTGATCAACCACATTTCCCAACTTCCCTGAGAATTTTATCTAATCCTAACAGTGGATCTGAGAAGGCTGATCTAATTCTGTTTTTATTTTCAATCCCTGTAGAATGGGCGCCAGAACCCATAAGAACAAGGAGCAGGAGTAGGCCATTCGGCCCCTCGAGCCTGCTCCGCCATTCAATAAGATGATGGCTGATCTAATCTAACTCCAACTCCCACCTTATCCCCATATCCCTTAATCCCTTTATCCACAAGAAATCTATCAATCTCAGTCTTGACTATGTTCAAGGACTGAGCATCTACAGCCCTTTGGGGTAGAGAATTCCATAAATTCACTACCCTCTGAGTGAAGAAATTTTTCCTCAACTCAGTGGGAAAGGGCTTACCCCTAATTTTAAGACTGTGACCCCTGGTTATAGTTTCTCCAACCAGGGAAAAAGTCTCCAACTATCTATTCTGTCGTGCCCCTTAATAATCTTATAGGTTTCTATAACCCATTGGGTTCTCAAAAAAAAACCTTTACTAATAACAGATCCAACAATCCTCATGGTGGGACAGAATTGTTGTGTCCATTCACTCAATCAAAACTCAATGGTTGTTGATATGAGGAAGGAACAGTGAAAGCAAAACCCATTGATTGCCTTATAAATAATAATAATAATCCTTGCATTTGATATGGTGGTTTCTAAACGTCTCAAATATATAAACCTTCACTCTCGCTGTTGACAGAACAGCAACTAACAATGGGATGTTATTTATGAGCCCCACACTGCCAATTAAGGTAATATTTTCAGAATTTGAAATGCAGGGATTGTTGGATCTGTTATTAGAAAGGTTTTTTTCTGAGAACCCAATGGGTTATAGAAACCTATACGATTATTAAGGGGCACGACATTTCAAACTTGAAATGCCTGCTCCACTGTGGGTGTTGGAATAATGTAGAATGAGCTGATTGCAGCTTCATATTCTCAGTTACCTGTTTTGGAACTGTGTTGTGAGCCGTTCAACAGTATTGTTGCTTTGTAACGTATTTCACCCTAACAGTATAAATGTATGTATTTCTTGTAGATGGCCTTGTCTTGTTATGTGGGTATTTTAAATAAAAATCTTTGGATTGGATTCTTTGAAAGAAACCTTTCAAACATATGTACAAATCGGTAGATATGCAGCCGGTAATGTGACTTTTAGTTCTTCTCCCTCGAGTAGTTGTGTGGGACAAGCAGCACCAGTCATTGTTTCAGACGGTAAACAGATCAATGGTAACGGTGTAGAAAGAAAGTCATTCTGTGCCTCTGAGCCATGCACTGCCAATATCTATCAGCCACTGCCATCTCTGATGCATCACAGCTGTCCTTGTGTTGCAGGTTACCTGTTCTGGAGTCGACAGCACCCGGAGGCGATGTGTCTCATCCTCACCATATTGTGTCAGTTGTGCCCAGTCGATATCCCCGCTGGTTTACTCTCGGGCACCTCGAGTCTCAGCAGTGTGAGCTGGCCTCCACCATGTTAACAGCAGGCAAAGGTTGGTGTTGATGCAAAACAAAACCTACGCGCTAGGGAGGGTGGGGGGTGGTGGGACGGCATTGAGGAGAATGATCTGAACCATTGTGGAAAAGCATCAGAAGCAGCCAAGGGCTTTTCCCCAGAGGACAGGCAGGTCAGTGGATATTGCCCTAACTCAATCTTCCCACATCTTCATGAGGCTATTTCGCAGTCCTGCTGGGAATCGTGCATGGGAGAAGGAGAAACTGCACAATACATGGCATAAATGTTTAACGTTTTATTAATATTATTAAATCTTTATTATTATTATTAATAATAATAAACATTTAAATGATTAAGTGCTAGGAACCATGCATTCAGTTTGTTTTAAAGGGAAAGTATTGAACAGTACTAATGTTAAGTAATGGAGTCGCTTCTCTGAAGTACTGAACATGGATTTTATCAAAAAAAACAAGGATTTCGCCAGATGTTGGATAAATAGGAGATCTCTTGTGATTTACCATACAACACATTCAGCCCACTCCTGTCTGAAGATGGTGAATCAATCTCACTAGCTCCCTGGGTGCCACAGCCCTCCAGTACCTCACCCACATGGCGACTTTCCATTCATTAGCCTTGGTGGTGTCGGTGGCTGTTCAACTGTGAGAAGATGGAATGGGCATCACAGCCACATTTGATCCTGTCTCCTGATATCCATTCAGAGTTTACAGGCAAACAATGAACTGCTTTGCCAGGCGATTTGCTTTCATATGACAGCTCAGTCTTATGTGATTTAGAGTGGGATACCAGGTTATAACCCACTGTGACTGTTTGCAGGAGATATGCTGAGGTTACGGACTGTCCTGGAAGCTATCCGGAAGAACATTCATTCCTCGTCCCTCATATTCAAACTTGCCCAGGATGCGTTTAAAATAGCCACACCAGCTGACAGCCCTCCAGGTGTTACGCTTCTCAATGTGGCTTTAGAGCTTGGGTTGCAGGTAAGAAATGATGTGCAATGAAAATATTGCTTAACGATCAACGTTTCCCACTCACATCAACGGTCTCACACTTCCAAGTTGACCACCAATGGAGAGGCGTTCATTTTGTCTCTGTTTGTTCAAAATGCACTAAAATCCTGGCTAGCTGGACCAATGGGGTGGGCAGGTGGGGGGGAGATCCTGTCTGGCGAGCAGGAATTTCTGGCTAAGTAATTACAATTACAGTCTGGCAGTGGGAGAGCACCACCTTTCTTCATTGCCAAAATTTGTCGATACCAGGATCGTCTTGCCCACAAAATACACTGTCATTAACTTTACAGTGTATTCTGTGAAGCGCTTTGAGATGTCTCATCGACGTGATAAGGCGCTATATCAAATGCAATCAATATTATTGTTATAAACAAGCCAGTAGCCTCGGCTTGTTTTGGGTTCATCCTCGGGATATGGAAGTTGAGGAGACAAAAGGGCTCCGAAAGGGAATGGGCAAAGAGGTAGCGAATAAGATATCTTCTTCTCACGGGATTCAATGTCACTAACCCTGCCCACTGGAGGCAGAGAGCGCGGTGAGGTGAGGGTGGGGGGGTGGCGAGGGCTAGGAGAGTGGCTGGCGTGAGGCCACAGCACTCTGACCCATGGAAATTTTCGAACATTTTTTGGGCCAAGTCCGACTACCTATGAGTTCCAGACATCCACAGTACAGTAAAACAGGGGTTTACTGTAATTAGTAAGTGAGAATAATTGTCTTGAAATAATTTGCGGGTAGTGAATAGCTGCTAGGATTGCAACGTCATAAGATATTTCATGCACAGAGTGCATCAAAAGCTCCTTATGTCAGGTGTAGCATGGACGAGTTGTTATAGTAAGGCTTTATCTGCACTATTGCACAGTATGTATGACACATCCATTTTCTGCTTCAGCTTATGGTGTCTCTGAGCGAGGCTCTCACGTTAACACCGTGTCGTGCTGAATTACAGGCAGTGTTAGAATGTGTTCCTGTCCTCAGTGAAACTGCTCAAACCTGTTCATGTAGGACACTGGCAGGCATTACACAGAGGGGATTTGTGTCCCTATCAGTCTAGGCTGGATTAGAACCAAGATCCTCATGCTCTAACCTCCTGTGTCACATCATTACCCCTCAGCAATCCAACCTAAAACCCAAGAAACACACTCCACGTACTCATAAACTTCATACTTTCCAAACGTGTGCCCTGGTACTACAGCAGCAAGTTGTCCTAATGTTTTCCATTTATAGAAACCCTTTTTGTGGGGGAAGGTTTTGGTTAGAGAGTAGGTACTCTGTCCTCTCTTCTATCAGCATCTTTCTCCTGCCTTTCTCAGCAATGGGCGTAGACCGCTGGCTGGTTTGTGGGGTAGTGCTCGGGATTCGGGAGTTGAGGGGCGACAGTAGGATGATGAAAAGCTGGGAGACAGTCTGTTCATCTCATTGTGGGATTCTCTGGTTCACGTGCAGGTGATGAGGATGACTCTATCGACGCTGAACTGGAGGCGCAGAGAGATGGTGCGCTGGCTGGTGACGTGTGCTACAGAAGTTGGTAGGTCACTGCGGTCGGTCACTGCATTCACCCACGGCTTGAGTAAATCTTTCAGAACTGTTTCTGGCATCAAACAAATCGCACAATGTAATTTTGTCTCAAAGGTTGGGCAGAATGATAAAGAAATGTGAGTATAGTGGACATAAGCGTTCATCTCAATCCGACTTGATTTTCATTCTGTACATTTCGAGCAAATGTTTTTGTTTAGTTTCTATTGACAACACGATCTCTCGAATAGTCCCGTAATTTGACAGAGTTAACTTGATCAGATAGCCAAAGCTCCTCTCCATATCTCTCTCTCTGCAGTAGCCAGTAATTACTCCCTGTGAGCCAAGCTTCTCCGTGACTCAAAAAGGGATGTATCTATCTATCTATCTACATTTAGCCTGTTTAATGTTTCAGAGCAGTTGGTTGCAGCCTGTTGTAGAATTGTTTTTGTAGGCAAACATGGCAACTATCTCACAGACAGCCATTAGATGTATGATTTTCTTTGCGGGTTTGGAGTTCTGTTCCGATTCCCTTCTTTTCAAATTCTGCACATAAATTATCTTCTCATGCAACAACAATAACTTAGATTTATATAGTGCCCTTCATGCGGGTAGTATCTCAGAGCGCTTATAAAAGGCTGGAATGGCTAGGAAGGGGTGGGGGCGCGGGGGGTGGTGGTTGAGAACGAGTTGCTGAGATTTATAATAACAGCATGACATGCTCCAACCAGTTTTAAAGCATTATCTCGTTCACTCGAATCGGTTTATTTACATCTCATCCATTGTTCTTGTGATTGACACCGGGTCCTTGTTTGTCGTCCGTCCCCCCACCCATTGCCCCTCCTCTACCCGCCTGTAGGTGTGCGAGCGTTGGTGAGCATCTTGCAGAGCTGGTACACACTCTTCACCCCGACCGAGGCAACGAGCATCGTAGCCGCCACCGTCACTTCCCACAACACCATTCTACGGCTCAACCTGGACTACACGCAAAGGGAGGAGTTAGCAAGCTGTGCCAGGACACTTGCTCTTCAGTGTGCCATGAAGGACCCTCAGAACTGTGCTCTGTCTGCGTTAACTCTATGTGAAAAAGACCACATTGCCTTTGAGACGGCGTACCAAATTGTTATTGATGCGGCTTCTACGGGTATGACGTATTCCCAGCTGTTTACCATAGCTCGGTATATGGAGCATCGAGGGTACCCGCTGCGGGCCTTCAAACTGGCAAGCCTCGCCATGACCCACCTTAATTTAGCCTATAACCAGGACACCCATCCTGCCATCAATGACGTTCTTTGGGCGTGTGCATTGAGCCACTCTCTGGGGAAAAACGAACTAGCTGCCATTATCCCTCTGGTGGTAAAGAGTGTACAGTGTGCCACTGTGCTGTCGGACATTCTGCGCAGGTGCACAATGACCGCACCTGGACTGGCTGGTATTCCCGGCCGCCGAAATTCTGGGAAGCTCATGTCAACTGACAAAGCACCTCTCCGCCAGCTGCTGGATGCTACAATAGGCGCTTACATCAACACCACCCACTCTCGCTTGACGCACATCAGCCCTCGGCATTACGGTGAATTTATTGAATTTCTCAGCAAAGCCAGAGAGACATTTTTGATGGCACAGGACGGACACATACAATTCGCTCAGTTCATAGACAACCTCAAACAGATCTATAAGGGAAAGAAAAAACTGATGATGCTTGTCCGGGAACGCTTTGGCTAACGCACTATTTTAAAAAAAACACACAAACAAAAATTGTTCAACTGTGATCTTGTCTCATAGGAGTGGTACTCGGTGTCTTGCCACAACCAGTGGAGCCAGTCAACGTTTATTTGAGCATTAACCAATATATACATCCTTCAAGAAATTTAACAGTAACAAAATAATAATTCTGGCACATAAGCATAAAACGCAAGGATTATGGAAAACGTTATTCATTATACCAAATCCTACTGCACGAAAGCAAATACCTCTGTCTTGCTCTCTTTCTGTTTTGCTCCTACTCTTCCTGCGTCTTTTATCTCTTTCCTATCTTGTCTCCATCTCTGATCTCCCTCGTTTTTTCTCTTCTCCATTCCTCTCCATCTTGCTTCATCTGTGTGCGTGTGTGTGTTTATCTCTCTTACCCTCTCCTGTGTGCCTCTCCCTCTTCGCTCCCTCTCACTCTTTTTTTTCTCTTAATCCTCTGATATACATATCTCTCCTCTTTCTCTTTCTATCATTCCTTTGCCAGTATCTCTCTCTTTCTCTCTCTCTCTCTCTCTCGATCTTTCTCTTTTCCTTCTTCCTCTCAGCTTTAATCCCCATAAATTGCCAGGTTTTGAAGCAGAAGAAAGAGTTACGAAACCTTTCATGAAAAAAAAGTCCAAGCAAAGCAACACTAAACCTCGCGTGCCACCAAAACAATTTAGTGAGATGGCTTTACTCACACGTGCCCACGCGCCATGTGTTTGTGTGTGTGTGTGTGTGTGAAGGTACTTACTCACACGTGTTCACGCGCAGTGTGTTTGCGTGTGTGTGAAGTTACTTAAAGAAGAGACCATTCTCAGGGATGCTAAACAAAAGTAGCAAAAGCATTTATGAAAACTGTAAATATTATAGTATATGTGTCAATTATTGAAAGAATTGTAAAGTATATTAATTTATAATTAATCTATGTCATTAATGGGATACTTGAAATTCACTGTGGGCTGGAAATGTTTTAACAGGAGGGAAGACTGTAGAGCACATTTCTCAGGTTACCCCCCATGTATTGTGTGTAAATGTGTGAACGAGTGAAGGAGATGACATCTCTATGCAGAACCACTTATGTACTGTACTACCCTCTGGGCCTGGAGGGGGTTGGGATGCCAAGAGTTGTATCGGAGAGAGAAAAAAAATATTTTTGAAGTCTTTTTTTGAAAACTAAATTTAAAAAAAAAAAGTGGTAAGGAAAGGGGGAAAATTGACAGAAAAATTTGGCCTTAGTAGCTTTACGGCAGTACAGTCAGGTATGAAACCTGCCTCTCTGGTACCTTTTTTGGGCAGTACTCAGTGGTTCAAACAGAAAAAATAATTTAAGAGCAGAAGGTCCTGGATGTCTGTGAAGTGAATGAACTGGTAGTACTTGGCTTCCTCTGTTAGTTCTTACGTGCGCAACCTCTTGTCATTAAATAGGTCATATTTCTTAACCGTGCTGCACACCACCTCTCCACATGTTCTGCTACCACAGGAAAATAATAATTTTAAAAAAGTTATTAAAAAAAAGTGTTTCAACTTGAAAAGCTGTTGCCTTTCTAATGTCATTCATTCGAGAAAAGAAAAACTTTTTTCCTTGTTTTTTTTTTCTTCTCTGGTTCGTTCCTGAGTCCCAATGTTTTACTTTTTATGGATAGCTGCTTCCTGTGAACAGTTTGAAAACAAAATGTAAATCTTGTTGGTTCCGGTTGCATTGCAAAAAAGAAAACCCTTTTTTTGAGTGTCTTCTTTATGTGTTAACTGTACCAGTGTCAGTTTGTCATAGTTTTAGGGGGAAAATGCGCTGGTAGAGAATGTTGACTAGATGTAACTACTGTTGAGATATGAAAAAAAGTGTTTAGTAAATGTCGCCTCTCTCTGCGCTACTGAAAGATTAATTCAGTATTCGTTGCCACAAAAGTATCTACTTTCATCAACGATTCATTTTTTGTGTAACCTCTTGATCTGATGTTTAAAAAAAACAAAAAAAACAAAGTTTAATACTATTTATGTAATGCTACTACCATTTTATATAACTGTGTCAAACAATTTCAGTGCTTTTTTTAATGAATAAAGTGTGGAACACAGCTGCAGTTCTGAGCTTTTTCAGCGTGCTGGTTTGTTTGCTGACGTTTGGCTGGTGGGGACTGGGTTCCAGGCCACCCGAAGGTAAGACACCATTTTTTAAGATGCCGCGGGAGGTGTGAGACTAATAATAATACTATAATTCTTGCCTTTGGTACAGTATCTTGTCACGTTGTCAAATAAATCTCCAAATGCTTCACAGGACTTTAAAATGTAGTGACGGTGTTTGTAGTCAAAAGCGGCTGCCAATGTGAAATGAATGAATATTGTTGTACATGGGAGGTGGTGGGGATGGTGTCAGCCTCCACGATGAGCTCAAAAGTTTCAACTGAGCCAGGCTGTCACCTATCGATCTCTTGAACCCTAACCAGTATTTTTGTTATGAGACAGGAGCTCAGTGGGATTGCGTTCAGAATTGGAGGTACCCCCTCATTGCATCTGTGTTTCTACATGTACTCAAGCCCTCCCCCCCCCCCCCCCCCCACGCCGAGGTACTCAAACATCAATAATAATAGAGATCACCTGCCATCTGAACTTTACAGAAACGACTCCAAATAGCATCTTCACTAGCCACGCTCAGCCTTTCCATTCAGAGAAAACTCCTGTGGTGTAAATGGTCTCACAATAACACTATAAATATGATTTATTTCACCTGCTTTTAAACAAATATATACAGAAAAATAGGAAGCTTTGAAATTTACAGCTTTACTCAGTGAAAGATTGGACCTGAATGATGAAAGTATTTGCAGAGTCGAGGTGCTCAGAAAATGGAAATTGCAATACGTATTTATTTTAGTCAGCAGTGAAACGTGCAGATCTCTCTCTCTCTCTACAGGATTTGCAGTATGAAGATCTCAGGCTACAGAGGTGCTGACCATTAGAAATATTTCAAGGCATTAAATATCAGTGTGAGCTGTCGCAAATATGAGCCCCTGTCCCAGCACTCCAACAAGTAGGCTGAAGTATTGCATTTTCTCTCCAAACTGCATCCTGATTTTGAGTTCAGTCACATTTGTCTGCTGCAGTGTGTGTGTGTATTGGACCTGAATGATAGATACATCTGCTGATAGAATATATATGTAGATCTGTCCACTTTCAATTCATCTTAAACACATTTCCAGTCTTGTTGGGGTGGGGGGGATGCTGGTGTAAACTGCCATGATGCCGGAAGGTATATATACATATATGTATATATATTCCCAGTAATTTGAGATTGATTGTGATGGACAGCTTTCCTGTGAGAATTGCTCCAGAATATTGCTTTTTTTAAAATAAATACTTGTCTTTAATTTTCTAAAATACGTTATCTTGAATTTATTCACTGTACACAGACGGGCAAAAGCATCCGTCCATCCATTTAGCTACATTAATCAAGGCACTCAATGCTGGCCAAGCCTTCTGAAGCAGGCCATTGTTAGTTGGGCTAAATTAACAATGACTTGGTTAAACCCCATGACGCACTCTCTAAAAGGCCTTGGTATACAGTAGATATTGAATCCAGATTAATTGGGCTGCCTGCTGATCCAGCTTTTTAACAGATGACTGAATACTTGTCAGGTAAGACGGCAGCCTATCTGTGCCACCAGACCAAACACAGCACGGTTTGTGAGATGGGCTGACTGATTGGAGCCATTAATTATAATGTCAGAATTGGACTGCTCGGTGAGAGAAATACGTGATGTGCATCTGAAAGCAATTGTAGGGATGTTGTAGGGAAGACTGACACACACACAAACCAGATAAAGCTGCATCTCTGTTTCTGGTAAAAATGGAAAATCTCTAATTAAGGCTCTGTAGCTGCCAGCTTCATACTTTTGATAATAGGAATGTTGGGCTCTGAACTACTAACTAGTGGAAACGCGTACAGATTCCGACATTGAATGGTGTTGGTGCTCTATTTCAGGGGATACTTGACTGGATCATTGAAGAGAGAACATTGGGCACAGAATGGCAGGTATTCCTTGCTGAACTGGGCCATTGCACCCACTGTTAATCATGGGAGGGTAAGGGAAGGGAGAATATTACAAAATAAAATGCCAACCACTTGATACTCCCATTAGTGAGGCCCCAAAGATGTTAGACAGAGATTGATGACACTCTGTCTACTTTTATTATTTTACGGCTCCCGTCACCAACTCTCAATCAGGACTGGGACAAGCCTTTAACGGGAGTCATTGTACCTGTGATGGAGAAGTTGGATTAGAAGAGTATAATAATCCTTGCATTTGATACAGCGCCTTATCACGTCTTCGAGATGTCTCAAAGCGCTTCACACAATATACTGTAAAGTGAATTGACTGTATATTTTGTGGGCGAAACGTGGCAGCCAATTGTGCACAGCAGCGTCCCACAAACAGTCGTGGATTGAGTGACCACATTTTATTTTTTGAAGGAATTATTGTCCCCGGAAAAACGATCTTGTCAATCGAATAACAACCGGGTTCCTACTTACTGCTAGGTAAATAGAGGCGTGTGGAGTAAGGAAACTTGCCCAAAGTTTCATCCTGTCTGGGAATCAAACCCAGGTCCTCTCGCTTGCGAGGCAAGTGCTCTAACCACTAGACTACAGGACTCCAGAGTTAAAGGGTAACTAACGCTTCATCACTTGCTTTCTAGCTAGGAGGGCATCTTGTCGCCTGACCGGTAATCGTCAGGAAACCAGTAAATGGCTTGAAATGCTTCTTGTGAACTCGATGGAAAGCAGACTTCATAGAAATCACTAAAGATCACTTTCAGATGGTTTCTCAGGAGAGGGAATTACAAACAGCAGCACCTTCCAAAATACTGTTGTGAAATAAACTGCGGTGCTGGTGAACACACTGACAGAGGCCGGGGTTCTCTGGTGTGCACCTTCTGCCATTATTACCAGCTACAACATGTGTCAATAAATCCACTTTATGGCCAGCACCTGAACAATTCTGGAGAAAAGCGGCAATAAAAAATGCAGCCTTGATATAAGTGCCAATTCTGCTGTTTTGGATTAAGTGTTTCAGAGATAGAATTGTCCTACAACCCACTCGTGCTTTGAAATTGTTTTAAAAATTAAACCTGTAAGTTATTTTGAGGATATTGTACGTCAATCACCCAACATTAATTATTGCATAAATGTTTGTACCATTAAGTGTGCATATAAATAAAACTACCAGTAGGGACTTGTTATTCAGTAAATAAAGGCACACGTGACAACCTCATGTTCAATAGGGATTTAATCTCATGGAGACAATTGGGAGATAGGGGAAGGGAGGGGGGAGATCTATACATGAAATAGATTCACTTAGTGAAACAACTTGATCATAGTCAGGAATCAGGCAGCTCAAGTGCTGTGCTAGGAAACGTATAAATTGTTCCTATTATCACAATAGTTCCATTTGTGCAGATATTATATTCGAGATC